ATAATACTTTTAATGTCGGCTTGGAGAAGAGCGTGGTGACAGGCCCTGACAATTACATCACCCACTATGACCGCTTTAACTTTCACCCCAGTTACAATGTCAACAGGCCATCTATCTGTGACTAAGGGAGTTGGCTGCCCATCGGGGGCGGGGGAGGTGTCTCCTGACTCAGTGCTGCTGTAGGGAGGAGACTGCTGCCCCTGATCCTTACCAAGTGCCCGGTTCTAAAGGCACAGATCTCACTGCCTTCTCAGAAAATGCTTTTCCTTCCAGGAGGAGAAAAATATGCAAATAGGGCCATAATGTCCTTCGTTCTGTATTTTACACAGGAAAGATGCTGATGGCAGGAATTGCTATTAAAACAGTTGCCACAGCCTCAATTTCTGGCTTGTCTCATCTTTGCCCTGGAGCAGCAGGGAACTGCACATCTTGGAACTCAGATCTTGGTCTGAAATGCAGGGTGTGACAGCGAGTGCCACAAAGTGTCTTTATTTGTGAGCTGTTGCCGTGTGTGTGTGTGTGTGTGTGTGTGTGTGTGTGTGTGTGTGTGTGACTATACTAGGCTAACATCTGCACAGACCCTAGAAAGTCCCCAGTGAGTGTGGGGTTCCCCAACTGGTAGTACAAATGTCAAGTGAGCATTCTCCAGTCACAATGAGGGTAAGGGGCAGGACATATGCCACGCACCAAGGTTGGCAATGATAGCCAATGTTAATAACTGTGGAGGTCAGAAATCTCCCATCCAAGTACCATTCAGGCATGACCTCACTTAGCTTCCCAGATTGGAAATACTGGTTTACACAAAGGCCCTCTCTGATCAGTTTATTTTTTTCTTTTAAGATTTTATTTTTAAATTGTGTGTGTGTGTGTGTGTGTGTGTGTGTGTGTGTGTGTGTGTGTAGGGGGGAGTCCAGAAGAGGCTGTCAGATTTTCTGGAGTTACAGGAGGTATGAACTGTGTTCCATCTGGGTACTGGGACCTGAACTTGGGTCCTTCACAAGAGTAGTATGTGCTCTTAGCCACTGAGCCATCTCTACAGTTCTCATTTTCTTTTTTTGGTCAGGCTTGACAGCAAATACCTGCTGGCCATCTTGTTGATGCAGATTTTTTTTTTAATGTGTGTGTGCTCCTGCACCTGAGTATACATATGTGTGGGTGGACTGTGCCACGTGTGGATATGTGAATGCCAGAGGCTGACATCAGATGTCTTTATTGCTCTCCACTATGTGTTTTGGGATGGGGTTCCCTCACTGAACCTGGAGTCTGATGTTTTGGTTAGACTGACTGGCCAATGAACCCTGGTGATCCACTGGCATCTGTCCTTAAGTGCCAGAGTTAAAGGTGCATGTCCCTTGCCTAGCATGCTAAAGGCCCGGGCTTCATCCCCAGCACCTCATAAATGGGGCACAGTGGCGCCCCCTAACATCCCAGAAGGAGGCAGGAGGGTCAGGAGTTACTTCCAGGCCAGCTTCCTCTGCTGCATGAGACTCTGCCTCCAAAGACCAAGGGAGAACTGAGCACATGAGACCACAGGTTCCCCAAGTCCAAAGTTTGTCAAGGTAAAGCTCATAAAGTCTTTGATGTTGGTGTTTTAGGGAAAAAAAAAAAAAAGGTGCATGTCCCCGTGCCTAGCTCCCAACTCAGGTCCTCAGGTTTGGGCGACAAATATTTTATCCACTGAGCCATCTCTCTACTCTTGAATTTTTTTTTAAACTTCATTCCCATGTATAAGGTTTTCTTACTACAAGAAATTTGGCCATCAGAAAGAAGAAATCCTTACACACTGTCATTAATGCTTTATTCACAGAAATTAAACACCCTGTTTTTTCCTTCAGTATTATTAATGCATAAAGTAAACATTTCGCAACAGTCTTAATGTCTAATTTGGAATGGCAATGCTTTCTAGAAAAAAAATTGATTAGTTTAATTAAAAGGCTATGAGCCAAGACTAAAGCCAGGATCTACAGACTTCTGAGGTAGAAAACCAACAGGCTGCTGGGTGTCCAGCTGAAAAGGGTTTTGTTATTGTTGTTGGTTTGGTTTTTTTTTTGTTGTTGTTGTTGTTTGTTTTTGACAAGGTTTCTTTGTGTAGCCCTGGCTGTCCCAGAACACACTCTGTAGACCAGGCGGCCCTCAAATACATGTAGATCCACCTGCCTCTGCCTCCTGAATGCCGGGACTAAAGGCATGCACCACCACATCTGGCATATTTTGTAAGATTTATTTAGGGATATCAGCAGTAGTGGTCCATGCCTTTAATCCCAGCACTAGGGAGGCTGAGGCAGAGTCAGGCAGGTCTAGCCTGGTCTATGTATCCAGTTCTAAGATGGTCAGGGTACACAGAGAAACTCTGTCTCCAAAAAGAAACTATTTTTATTTAGGGTTTGGAGAGAGAGCTCAGTGCTTAAGGGAACTGGCTGCTTTTCCAGAGCACCTGATTCAATTCTCAGCACCTACACAGTGAGTTACAATTGTAACTCCAGCTCTAGGGCCTCTGAGGGCACCATTGTGGTGCACAGACATACATGCAGACAAAACACCTATACATATGTGCATTAGTCAGGGTTCTCTAGAGTCACAGAACTTATGGAATGAATCCATATGTAAAAAGGGATTTATTGGAATGACTTACAGGCTACAGTCCAGCTAATCCAACAATGGCTAGTTGTGAAAGGGAAAGGCCAAGAATCTAGTAGATGCTCAGCCCCATGAGGCTGGGGGTCTCAGCTGGTCTTCTGTATATGCTGGCGTCCTGAAGAAGTAGGTGCCAATGCCAGTGAAGGGATGGATGTGCCTGCAAGGCAAGAGCAAGCAGGTCAAGAGCAAGAGCTTCCTTCTTCCATGTCCTTATATAGGCTTCCAGCAGAAGGTGTGACCCAGATTAAAGGTGTGTCTTCCCCGTCAAGATCCTGATCAAAGATGTGTGTCTTCCTACCTCAAAGGTCCAGACTAGAAGTGGATTCACTTACTTTAAACTGAGCAAAAATAGTCTCTCATAAGTGTGCCTGTCATTTCTGGATTGTAGTTCACTTAAGTTGACAAGAATAGCCATCACATCATAAATAAAACAATTTTAAACTTATTCTTTGTGTACACGCGTGTGCCTTTCTGAGTTTGTATGTGCCACATGAGTGCAGGTGCCTGAAGACCACAGAAGAGGAGCCCCTGCAAATGGAGTTACAGGAGATTGTGAGCCATCTGATTTCGGTGTTGGGAACCGAACCTGGGTCCTCAGCAGGAACAGTATTGTTCTTAACTGCTGAGCCATCTCTCTAGCCCCTGAATTAATCTGTGGCTTGTTGAGACAGGGTCTCACTATGTAGCCCTGGCTGTCCTGGAAACTCACTGTGTAAACCAGGCTGGCCCTGAACTCAGAGAGATCCACTGGACTCTGCCTCCCAAGTGCTGGGATTAAAGGTGTGTGCCACCATGTCTTGCTGAAAACAGGTTAACAATCATTAAAAGTATTCTTTAAATGCCACTGGCCTTGCTATATTTAGCCTCTCCCCTTTCCACATAGCTGAGAATGACCTTGAACTTCTGACTCTTTATCCGTCTCTTTAATGCTGGGATGACAGGTATGTGCCACCACACTAGGTTTATGTGGTGTTGGGGATTAAACTCAGCCAAGCTACATCCTCAGCCCCTCTCTTTCTTCTGTTGAAAGAAAAAAGCCCCACCAACCAGATGCTGAAAAGAGGGAATGCCTTCACAGCAGCCATCCTGAGGAGCAGGTGGACAGTGCCACAGTAGATAAAGCCAGAGGCTGAGCGGAGCCCAGAGTGACTGAGCTCCCGTCCTGCCCTGTGATGAGGAGGATTTGTCTCAGCAACCAGCACATCTGAAAAAAACTGTGTGCTGGACAGTCCCCACTTCCAATCCCAGGGGAATGTGGGGCCTGGGCCAGAACTGCCAGCTGGCAAACAAAATGTGGGTTGGCACAGGGACTGAGCTTGCCCGTGGGCTGTGTGGGTTTCACTCTGGCACTGCGGCCAGGCACTGAATTGCTTTAATTGGCCATGTCCAATAAAGTGCTTTTTCTGGGCGAGCTGATGAGAGTACAAAGGTGGACAGCGCATGTTAAATAGAGGAAGTGTCTGGAAAGACAAAAAGCCCAAATACTTCTCATGTAAGCCACCTGACAGGCTTACTCCATTTTCTGTTGGTATAACAAATTATCTTAGGCTTGTAACTTATAGAGAATGGAGGTTTATTTGGCTTAGGGTTCTAGAGCCTAGGAATTCCATACCAAGGCCCTGGTATCTCCTGGGCATCTATCTGCAAGGCCCTCACTTTGGAGAACATGCAGAGGCAACACATAACAAGCAGAGCAAGCCTTCTCACAAAACCACTCGTGCCACCATAGGGGCACCTACCCCCGCTTCCTGACTGTGCATGTGATGTGACCAGCTCTTCTCATCTGGCCGTTCCTGCTGTGACGGACTGTATCTTGAACTGAACCAGAGTCAACCCTGAAGTTTTGCTTTTGTCAAGAGCATTTTTATCATGTTGTTAAGAGTATTTTTGTCACAGGGACAGGACAAGAAACTAAGACATGAATGTGCACGTGCGATCTGCTGGCCACAGCTGATGGATGGCACAACCCTCAACCCAAGGGTGCTGTCCTCCCTAGAACCGGGGACAGCTTCTGCTGCACACAGCACAGCCAACTTGGAAGGAAAGCACTACTGCTCCTGAGTTCAGGAGACTGGACCAGTGCCATCCACAGGTAGGGAGCAGGGACAGGACTGAGAGATGCTATGTTGTGGGGTGAAGCTCCTTTCCTTAGGTGGTGATGTCATTACCCCCAAAACAAGGACAACCTAATTTGTGGATAGTACTTGGTTTATTCATTAGAAAAACAAAAACAAAAACCCAATAGGTCTTACATACAAAACAAGATGCTTTTTGTTTTCAAGGGTTAAAAGCACTCTTTAAAAATTTAAAGTGGGAACACGGATGACACAAAGCTGTTTCTCCCAGAAACACATGAACAAATATAATATGCACATGGAATTTATTATACACAGACGGTTCAGGGGCAAGACAGGACCACAGCCCTGTGCGCATCACAGCTCCAACATGGCAGACACGGAGGATGGTGGGAGTATGTGTCAGCATCTGGGCACAGAAGTGAATTGGTGCATAAAATAGAAAAATCACTTCCACGTTAGAACACCAACAGAATCCAGCCACAATGTAGAGCCACAGCAACCTAGTACACTGAGCTGCATGACTCGGGTGACAGGGAGATAATCGCAACACAGATGTAACCCTCACATCTGGGGTCCAGCACATCTTCAGCCCCAAGTTGCCACTGGCACCTCAGCACCAAGGCAGTCATCACTCTGGCTAACTTCCCAGGACCCAACGCTGCTGCCTGCAGCCTGGCCTCAGCACTGGCCAGGCCCTTCTTTCTCCTGTGTAGAAGCAGGGTTTGCAGAAAAGCCATGCAGGCTGCTGGTGTCATCGTTGGTCACATACAACTGGGCTTTGAGTCCTACAGGGCTGGTGTGGGGAGGGTTTGTCTCCACTGTTTCTAGGGCTGGGGTTCTCCATCACAGGTGACTAAGGTGTTCAGGGACCAAACCATCTCATGGCCTCACTCTTCACCCATACATACATCAAGAACAGGACAGTCAAAACAAACATCTGGAATCACCTTTTAGAGCCACAAATAAAAGCAAACCAGTTGCTCTCTCAGTATAAAGAGGTTTATAGGGATGCTAGAATGTCCCAGCAACTGGATACTGGACGATCTGGGCTCAGCTGAGCTGCAGAGCCAGCAGCCAGGTTCCCACACTAGACAGGGGATGACTGGCTAGCTATCTGCTGGCTGTTGTGCTTTGAAGTGTTTTCTAGCTACCGGCCACAACTACAGGAAGCAGAGACAGCCTCTGGCCAGGGGCTAGAGTCTTCAGGAAGCACCCTTGTCCCAGTGGCGTCCTGACACACTTCCGAGGTAGACAGCTGCTGCTGCCGTCTCCAGGCCTGCCTGAAAATTTGTACCAGCAAATGGCCCACAGATCCAGCCTCTGTCTCTGACCCTCACAGGATGGTGAGAACCAAGTGTTTGCTCATCTACACACATGCATGGAGACCAGAGAGAATTGCAGCTAGGAACACCCTGCAAGATCGAGTGACATTTTCAAAAAGTATTTCTTACACTACTTTAAATAATTTACAAAAAACCCTACAAAAACCATATGTACCAGGACACATCCATTAAATAAAAATGTCATTTTGAGATTACTGTACATATTTATACAGGGGGCTGCGCAGAAGGGACCCTTCTTTTTGCTCTTTAATGGTCAGCAGCCCCTACCTCCACCCCATACTGCCAACACACACAGAACTTTCCACAGCTATGACAAGAGAGTCAGGACATGCCTGTCACAACTTGAGGCCTTTACTGCTCACTGTCATGCTGCCCCCGTCCTCCACAGAGGTGTCACTGAATTCGCTGGCATCACTGCCCAAGGCCTCCTGGTCCTGGTGTTCCCTGTCAACCCTGTGTCGATACCTCAGGTCTAGGACATTGTCCTCAGAGCCAGAATTTCTCCTGTCGTGCTGTCTCAGGGCCCCCTGAGCCTTCCGGCTTGGCCAGTGCCCACTGTCCTTCATAAGCAAGTGTGAGCTTCCAAACACAGGGCTGTGGCCAGGCGGGGTCTCCCTGAAGGCCGAGAAGGCTGGACCCTGCAGAGGCAGGCCCAGGCTGGGGCTGAAGAGGCCAGCCTGTTTGCTCCCCCAGGAGACACTCTTCCCGAAGTGGAAGAGCTGGGTAGAGAGGAAGGGCAGGCCCTTCCTGGGGCCTGAGGAGAGGCCAGATGGGCCCCCGGCCTCTGATGTGGCCCCCTTTTCTTTCTCAGCCCCGAAGACCCCTGTCCACAGCGTGCCTGGTCCGGGATTCAGTGCCCATGGGCTGGACAGCCTGCTCTGGTGTGCAAAGTCATTCCAGGGGAGGGTGAGGTCAGCCTGGGGTCCAGGATTGGGGGTCAGCAAGTTCTGGCTGCCATAGTTCAGGTGAAAGGCCCCCCCGGCACTTCCCGCCTCAGCACCCACTTTGGCACAACTGGACAGCTGACCGAAGACACTTTCTGCCATGGCAGTGTGCGCGCCCCGGGGGCTCTGGTCCTTGTGCACACCGGCACTTTTCCTGCTTGGCGGAGACACTTTGGCAGGATTGTTCCTGCTGGTGTTCTTGGGCAGCGCTGGCTCGCTTCGGCCCAGGGCAGCCGGGAGGCGAGGGGCCTGCTCAGCCCGAGGGGTGCCCTTCCCAGTCTGGCTTAAGAGGCCGGCTGCCTGGGTCCGAGCTCTCTCTGGGCCTCTCCTTCCTTCGGCCAGCTGAGGGGTTGCCCTGGCTTTCTGGCTCCGGGTGCACACTCCAGGCTGCAGCCCTGGGGCTGGCTCTTTCCTGCAGGGCATCTCCGGCTTGGCAGGGCCCCCTTGAGGCTCTGAACTGCGTACAGACTCCTTGGCCTTTTCTGCCAAAAACCGCCTGATCTCCAGCTCGATGCTGTCATCGCTGTCCACTGAGCTGTCCTCAGACGGAGGGCTGGGGGCAGAAGGAGGGCGGCCACTGGCTCCGGCGTCCTTAGAGGCAGGAATCCCTTCTGGACTCTTCTTCCTGGGAAGCAAGGCCGGGGCTGCATCCTCCCCCGCTGTGCCACCCAGCCTCACCCTCTCTGCCACGCTGCTGAAGATGCTGACTGGGCCTCTTCCCAGGCCATCTTTGTTGTCCCCTCTGCACTTGGACAGACAGCTCCGTAGGGCCTGCTGCCCGTGGTCCTTCCCGTCCCCAGGGAGGCTGCTCAGCCTCTCTCCGCACCGAGTCTCTGCGGTGCCGAATCTGACCTTCTTCCACGCAGCCCGGGGGTCTCGGCACCTCCTCTTGAACTTCCGCTTTGATCTTAACAGGTCCTTGATGGCCATGTCCAGGTCCTCATCGCTGTCCAGAGAGCTGCTCTTATCCTCAGAGCTCTCTTTCTCACCCGCACTCTTCCCCTCGCCTGCTTTCCCGAGACCCCCGTGGCCTTGTGCATCACTGAGTGCAGCTGTCCTGGAAGGGACAGGCTGGTCCCTGGCCTCAGCCTCTCCTCCTGGGGCCTCTGTGACTTTGCTCTGGCTGGGAGGGTCCCAACCATCATGGCCGGGCTTCCCCTTCCCCTGGATGTGGTCACTGTCCTGGGCACTCTCTCTACCCTCCCTTATTTTCTTGGGCACTGTAGTGCTGCCGCCACCTCTCCGCTTCCGTTTGCAGCCCTGGGGAAGATCCGGTGTTTTAGTAAGAGATGACTTGGGGATGCCGGTCTGGCCACCGGGGCCGGGTGGGGACAGCGGGCCCTGGGCAGGCTGCAGACTCCCTACTTGTGCCTTGAGGGCCAAAAATGTCCGGATCTCCTGCTCTATGCTGTCATCACTGTCAATGTTGCTGCTGTCACCTTCAGAGCGGGGAGGTACCGATGGGGAACAGAAGAGTGGGTTCACGGATGGAGGCCTGTCACTGCCTTCCACCGGGGCTGGCAGGATGGTCTTGGAAATGTCCAGGATGGCTTCTGCGCACATCAGCTCGGTGGACGTGTCCGCGAGGCACGATGAAGCCTGGTGCCCAGCTTCGCTCTTGGCAGCTGTGTGTCCTGGAGGTCCAGAGGCTCTCGAATCCTTTAGGAGCTTCGAGAGGGGGTCAGGGTGGAGCCCCCCCAGAGTGGTGTCCGTAACCTTTGGGGCTGCTAGCTTTTTCTTGCTTGGGGCCCTCCTGTGGGCTTCAGGCAAGGCACTTGGCTGAGCACGGCCAGGGCTGTCCTCTTTGAGCTGGGTTCTCGGAGGTGGGTCCCCACTGGCCTCGTTCCTGGTTTTCTCTAGCTGGTACAGCTGGATGGCCTCCTCAATGCCATCGTCACTGCTGGAGTCAGACGCCTGGTGCACTGGGGCCAAGTTTCTGATGCGCTTGCTTCGCCTGGCAGGCATGCTCCTTTTCACCCCGCCCCTGTTCTGGGGAGCCTCTGGTCTGTGGGCAGTCAGCTTTGTGCTCACCAGGGTCTCAGGCTCTGCGGTGACCTTCGGCCGGAAGTTTCTGGGCTGCACGCTCATCTTTGTTAACCTGGGAGGTTTGCGGAAGATGAACTCCTTACAGGTTCCTATCAGAGCTGCCCTGGATGTGGTCTCTCGGTTCCCTCTAAGTCTGGCAGGGCTTTCGTTTGGATCTGATTTTTTATCCACAGACCCATCACACTTTGGGTTTTCATGCTGTCTTTTCTCATTAAAAAACTGTTCTATCTCAGCTTGGATGCTCTGTTCAAAGGAATCCTCGCTGCTCATGCTAGCTGGGGAGGTGGAGCCCGGGTCCTCACTGGCTCCCACAGGAACACTACCTGAGTCAGGAGTGAGTTGTGGGGGACACGGGATGGGTAGGGTGCAGCTGTGGGAAGGCTCTGGTACACAAGAGGCTGCTCGGGACACAGGCTCAGAAGCCCCGCCCTTGGCCTTCAGGTACTCCTGGATGGCCTCCTCGATGTCCCGGTCCACGGAGTCATCGCTGTCAGAATCCAGCTCCAAGGGGCCCTGCTTCCCAGCTTCATCTTTCTCTAGGGGTTTACAGTCTGCAACAAGACCACAGGCAGGGAGCTCTGGCTGCTCTCTGCACACAGCAGGTTTGGGGGCCAGTCTGGTGTCCCGGCACCTTTCTGCACGTTGTCCTCTCTGTGTGACACGCTCATGGCTCATGCCCAGGGCAGCCTCGTCTCTCTGCAGTGTGCTGATGAGCATCTGTACCCTGGCGCTCACTGAGGCCCTGGAGGTGTCCTCTTTAGACTCGGAGAAGCAGTCAGGAAAGCAGAAGCTCCTGGGCTGGCCGAAGGCCTCCCATCTGGACTGGAGCGCCACCACTGGAGGGGCGTTCATGAGGAACATCCTAGCAGGCAGGCTGGGGGCTGGGAGGCAGGGCTTGTGGGTCAGCCCATGTCACATCCTGGAAGCAAAGAGAGCGTACGTAATGAAGGCTGTAGCTAAGTGTTAACACCAGCAACCACCCACGCCACCAACAAGAGATGACACACCCAGGGCTACAACCTAATGTCTCGTTGGCTGGGAGGCTCATGCAAGCCTCTCAGACCTGTTTCGCCAGCAGTACTAGGAGTCACTTCCATCCTGGAGGGTGGAAGACTCAGGGGGGAAAAAGTGTTTGCAAATTCCAGTGGCCCTTCCCTTTCCCCTCCAGGCTTGCACCTTTTCTCTAAGAGGACAGAAGAGGTGTCTTTACCGCCCAGTGTCACCAGAAGCCACCGCAGCCTCTAAATGCTTCTGTGTGTTTTAAAAAGAATGACTATCCACATGCCTAGCTAAGTTGGACTTCGTGGGTAGATTCTTTCTGGAAATGACCAATATGTTCTTTAGCCAAAGTTGTGCCTTGTGAAGGACTCAAAAAGCACTGTCTCAAGCTTTTCTTCAGAGTTGCCTTCACTACATTGTTGGTATGAAAATGCCAAACATGTGACAGAGATTGTCATAGGCTGACATCAAGTTTTGCTAATCAGCATGAAAGTTGTCCTAACTTCTGGGTGGTCACAACTAATTGGTGGTCCCATCATGTGGGTGGGTCTGGGTCTAGGAGCAGGCTGCATCTGTCTGGAGAAAGGACTGTGTGGCATGTAGACAGATCATGGGCTCATCAGTTTGGATGGAGGGGACGCTGTGAAACAAAGTGACACAAGCCTGTGTGGTCAGAGCCGGGTCTCTACACATCAGGTGGCCTAGTGTCAAGAACACTGAAGACCAGTTTTCAGAATTCCTGCAAAGAGGAGACTAATGAAGGAGGCACAGGGTCACTTGAAAAAATACCAGCTGCTCTGAATAGTTCTTAATTCTTCCAGGCTTTTTTTTTTTTTTTTTTTTTTTGTTTTTTTTTAAAGATTTATTTATTTTGTACATGGTGTTCTGCCTGCATGTATCCTTGCAGGCCAGAAGAGGGCACCAGATCACATTACGGATGGTTGTGAGCTGCCATGTGGCTGCTGGGAATTGAACTCAGGACCTCTGGAAGAGCAGCCAGTGCTCTTAACCTCTGAGCCTGCTCTCGATCTCTTTCAGGCTCCTTTGATCTCCTTTCTGCCTCCCTGAGATTGGAGAGCACTTACAAGGCTGAAGGACAAAGAGACCTGAGCTCCTGAGAGAAGGCATGGAAGGTTGTCTCCACCCCTAACCCAGGGCGGGATGGTAGGCCTGGCTTGTCATTGGCCTTGCTTCCATGTTCTGTCCTGTCCAGCAGCTGATCCATCTGCACTTGCCTTTCTGACAGGCCAAGATGTGCTGCACACATACTGAATTCCCTTCCCACAGAGGCGGGGCTGGCCATCTAGACTAAAATCTGCTCATAGGGACAGGCAACTAATTAGAGGTCATTGCAAATCAAGCTGCAACTCATGGGCGATTAACAATGTGTGCTTCAAAGGTTGAACTAATATACAAAATCTACTGCAATTACTTGAAATTCTCAAGTGCAGGCTGATGTTCCACAGGATTTCAGGGATGAGGTCTTCACTGATCCTCTTACATTTCAAAGCATCTCTCACCAGCTTTTAAAGTCAGCTGTGAGGGCTGGGCATGTGATGCACACTTTTAATCCTAGCACGTACACGAGGCTGAGGCAAGCTGATCTCTGTGAGTTCCGGGCCAGCTTGGTCTACACATAGTAGTTCCTGGCTAGCCAGGGCTACATATATAGTAAGACCAACTGTCCAAACAAACAAACAAACAAACAAATCAGCTTTTACTGCTGGTATTATAATCAGTGGCATCTAGTTTAGAAATTGGTGACAGCTTATCCTTTTCTTTCCTGTCATGATATGTTGTTAATGTAAAGAAAGGCTCAAAACAAATTCAGGAAAGCCTGCGCGGACACCATTTACATTTACTGTGTCTAATTTAGCACTCTTCTGGGTGAGAGCCGCAGGGTGGGGAGCGCTTTCCTGTAGTGGCTACCAGAGCTCCCATCCTGGCCTCCGTCTACCACAGTCCTACTCTCCGGGGACACTGCCTTCCCGAGACCCCCACAGGCACAGGGCAAGTGGCTTCCTTCACTGGCTACACCTTTCCCTGCCGTAGATGTGGTTCAGACTGCCAGAGCCGTCCTACGGAAATCACGAAACCTTTGCGCAGCTTAACTGTGAAGGGTCTGAATCAAGCAGGGTGTGGTGGTGCATGCCTGTAATTCCAGGTGAAGGCTGGAGGATCAGAGTCCAAGGCTAGCATTGTTTCCTTATCTAGTTCAAAGACAGCATCTGGTCTATTGAGATCCCGTCTCAACAGACCAAAGCAAACGAAACAAAAGGTGAATTGGGTGGGGTGGGGTGGGGTGTGTGTGTGGGTGTGGGTAACATTAATGTCTTAACAAGAGGGCCACCACTACTCCAGGTGCAGAGCTGGGGAGATAGATCAGTTTATCTCCACTCACCTGTTCACAGCTTATAACGATGGACCCAGAGCTGGGCTTCTCCGACAGTCTTAACGGTTGTTGGTCCAACTACCTGGTCTACGTCAATCTTGGGAGCTGTCATTCTGGAGAACCATGAACTGCAGAGAGTTAGAAACATGAGCTGAAGCCAGGGTTGGAGCTTTAAACTGGCATCTCTGGGAATCAGGTTTCCAGGGTGACTGTAGGTACAATAAGCCCCAGCACCTCAGCATGGCCTCGGCATTTAAGTTATGATGCAGAGGGCCCTGTACTCCAACTTGAAGTAGGTGTAGGTAATATTTGGTCCTTGGGAGCCAGAGGTGCTGACAAGATTCAGCCCTCAGTAAAACTGTTGTGTCTGCCATCCCCTGTGCGGAGTGGAGGCAAGCCGAGACAGACTCCCACGGCTGCCTGAGCACTGACTGACTGCTCATCTCGCTGCCTGAGAGGCAACTGGAGTGGCAGTCTGGTCTTGAGCAGGTTAATGCCAACCCTTCTCCAGGCAGAGGCAGGGCCTCCGACTGGTCTGTGCCCCCAAGCTATCCATCCCCGAAGTCCTTTTCTGGGATCCCCGGCTTAGGGTATCCGGGGGCCTCGAAGCTTCCCGTGGCAGGGTGAGAAGGAATCCTTGAAGGCCAGGCAGGCCTCGGTGACCCGGAGCCCGCCCCTCACCTGAGCCTCACCTGGGCCCGACCTGCACCCGCTGGCTCTCGAGGAACGCAGGGCGCAACAAGCGCCAGGCACGCGCGGGAGGCGCCTCCCGGGGGCCGCGACCCTCTCCCATGGCAGCGACTAGCCCCAGCCACCGACCCGATCCGGAGCCCGCCCGCCGCGGCCTGCACGGCGAACCCGG